CAACTTATCTGAGAAACTTGTTCTTAAAAGGTGCAAAAATCTAAGGGGAGTACTCCAATTTGATTTAGGGAGATAGCCACTGAGATTACGATTTCTGGTTAAAGTGATGTTATCTAGATATGGAAAGCTGAAAATTTCACATGGAAATTTCCCTTGCAGTTGACAGCCAAAGAGACTCAAACGCTTTAAGGAGGAAGTCAAGTTCAGAAAGGAATTTGGTCTAACCAAAGACATATCCACTTGGTCAAGGAAAAGATTTTCTAACTTTGTTAGGTTATGCACAAGCATGTTAAGATGATGGTTATCGAGCCTTAACAGAACAGATGACAGATCGAGTGAAACCAGTTCTGACAAAGGAGAGATTTGCTCTGTAACCATACCGTGGAACCCTGTATAGGAAAAATTGAGATGGGTTAGACTCCTCAACTCACTAAACTCAGAAGGAATTTAAAACCAAAAAATTTGAGGTGAGCAAGGTTAAGCCACTGGAGATCCTGAAGGAGAAGAGGCTGCTGTTGGATGGAAGATTGCCTTCAAGTCGACTACAACTGAGATCAAGACCAATCACGCGACCCGTCATGCTGTGGCATGTGACACCCTCCCAGGAGCAACAGTCTGTACTTTGGCTCCATAATTCCGTCTTGGGATAAGAATCACCGCATTCAGTGCTACCGCGAAAAGACAGGTTGGTCATTTCTTGAAAAGAAGACAGGCTATTTTTGAACTGGATCAAAGCAGAACTATGTTTAGGAGGGCATAATTGTGGAGGAGGAGGAGATGATAGAAGGGATATCGATGAAGAATTAACTTGAAAGAGTAAGAAGGCAAAAAGGAAGCAGAACATTTGATATAGCCACATTGAGCAACAACCCATCTTCCTTTATGAATGAAAGAAGTGAAGAATTTGGTTTGCATAAGGGTTATGAAGACTGAAGAGAGATGGGTGCTGGTCCTTACATGAGTTGCGCTTGGAAACTACGTTCATCCAAGCAAGCTAATATGTCTACTCCATTTGTCAGGGATACAGTGATTGCCCATTTAGGCAGCTTTCTTGTATCTTTTCTGGTGGAAGAGACATAAATTTGAAAGAACTTACTAGGTAGACTTTGTTTTTTTCACGTTAATCTTTAATTATAGTGTCACATTTTAATTTTATTGGATTTATAACTAGGACGGAGGAATGCCTATAATGAACATTAAAATATAATGAATGAATCTTCAGCTAGATTCATTTCATATTGGATACTAAGGTGGTTGTGTTTGGCAGAAAGAGAGTATACCTTTGACTTTGTTCATAGGAATCTTCAAAGACATACCGACACTTTGATATGATCAAATGTTTCCACATAAAGAAAAGTTACTAAATCAACGTCTCAATGGTGACAGAAGCACAAGAACAAGGTGCAAAATAGTAGTTTGTGCATAAAGGCAAATCAGAGAAGGTTTTGCTGCAAGGCTGCATATATAGAATACTTGCCGGTTTTGACTAAGAACATTATTCACAAGATTATTAGGCTTAGTTTTTGTTGGTAACAGTTAGTTTCCGGAGTAACATTATGCAAGTGAAAACAAAGATTTGCACAATGAGTAATCTTAAGGCTTTATTAGAGTAGTACAGGCTTCAAACTTTTATTTAGGAACTAATTAAGTGAGGTGGTACGGCCGTCTCTAAGAGACGCAATGCCACCATATTTGTTGACGTAGGGCACTGTAACCAATAAGATTAGCCTGGATTGTTATAGTAACATGTTTGGATCCTCTTCATTTTGAACCAGTAATTATAGAATCAATGTGGTTTGCAACCTACACTAATTCACAGTCAAGAGTCCATTCCAGGAGCTGCCGCTTTGATTATTTGCAGCAATGAGTCATTTGGAAAATTTCCATAACAAAACTCATTGTTCTCATCAAAAGATTCATAGAAACCTCCAAAGAAAGGCCTATAAACATTTTGGGATATTTTTAATGGCTTTTGATTATAGATTTGCCATGGACAAAAAGAGTAGGGAGTGAACAGAAAAGAAGCCATGATTAATGGTGGCTAGGTAGCAGCTTTGCTAGTTTAATCTGTATTAAAGGAAAATGTTGGAGTTAAAACTTAAAACCAATGCTGAAAAACTTTGTTAAAAATTGAACACATAGCTATCTCAGCATTTCAGTTTTCCCTTGAAAACGAATAATTAAATAATAAATAAAGACTGGTTAGCATATGCAGGCTAGAAAATTGGCTTGTAAGCTAATAGTAGTGTAATAAAAGAATGATGAAAATCCAAAACTAATGTGCATCTAATTAATTTCTTCCCTGGAATTATCTTTTGATGATTTAAAAAGTAACCTTAAAAGGAAAAATATAGCTTCCTTAATCAACTTAAATAACCTGAGCAGACAAAACATGATTTTCCTTATTATCTTTCTTATATATCTTAAGTTTCTGTAGCACAAAGTGAAGCTTACTTCAACGTGGAATTGTGAAGATGAACAGTGACCAAGTTATTATGAATATATTGTCTTATTGTGCTCTATTCCAATGCCTATGATGTGTAATTACTGGAAATTTTAGAGAACTTTGAGAGAACTCAAATCAGAATCAACCATCACCTGCTTATTCAAATCATCACCTTAATTTCTCCTGGGCTGGGCAACTACAATCAAATTCCCACTATTTAAACCCCAATTTCATGACCATCCATCGCCTACCTGTATGTTATGTAATGTGTTGTGAGCAGGCCTAAGGCCCAAAGACATAAGAAGTCCTATGAGAAGGTTCATATGTGACTTCAACAATAGATATTCCATATGTCCCAAAAAGGATGGGCTGTATATATTCCCCAACAATTGTCAGCAGTCAGAAAGGATACAAACCAAAATACTATCTCTCCTTTCTCTCTCATATCCTCTCCCTCTCTATTCTTTCCTTCTATTCCTCGTTTGATGAGTTCTTACTCACTTATAAAGTATCAGAAAAGGAATCACAAGAAAACCTCTGATGTACCATTTTTTTTGGGCACAGACGCATCATCTCAGCTCAGATCATCCAACAACATAATTCACTTACAAAGACAAATCGAAAGTAATCTCTAATATTTATTGGGACGATTTTTTTTGGCCCTCAAAGATAGAGTATTTTAAAAAATAATTTTTTTTAATTTTAACTGTTTTTAGTTAAGAGAAAAGATTTTTGGACAAAATTACCTTTAATCAAATTCTTCACATTCAAGTGCTCTCAAATTTTCTCTCTCACCATTTGTGTGCTTTGCTCCCTGTTTTACTATGCTCTCTATTTTTCTCTCTCATCATCCAACTTTTTTTAATTTTACCAACATCACAATCTCTTTGTCTATCTCTCATCATCTCGTCATATGATCAAAGAACATGACATGAAAGGTAACAATATATTCTTGGGTTTATTAATTTACATTCACAAAACTCTCTCGTTGTCTATCTCTTACCATCTCATCATCGATTTACAGATCAAAAAGCATGGCATGACATGGTGAGTAACAACTGGTTCTTGGGTTTATGAGTGTTAAGTTTTTTCAGTGATTCAAATCTAGTAGAACATGCCTTTGCATATAACAAAATGATTCATATGCCTTAAAGTGTCACAAAGTGATTCATGTCTTAGCATGTAACATCAATAAGAAAAAATAAGCTTTGACATGTAATATATGGTGCAGAAGTTTTGATCTTGGTATGTTACATCTAGTGCTAAAGCTTTGACCTTAGCATGCAACATCTTGTGCTGAATCTTTTTTATGATTATAGGAAATATAACAAATAAAATAACTTAAAAGCTAATTATCCAAATTTGAGGATTTTGGATAGTATTTTTTTGTCTAAACCCATTTCATCCCAGCTATTTCACCTCAGCAGTAATGTTGACGTTAAAAAATTTTAAAATACATCTTCCTTTCCATGTCAATTTTTTTTTATTTTAAACTTTATCTTTATCGTGAAGATGTTTAACTTTAAGAGTTTATGTCTTATTGAAATGCAAAGATAAATATCAAATTACATTTAAAAAGTGTTGTTATTACACGTCAAGTTCCAAAAAATGTTATTATAGTTAAAAAAAAAAATTGTTACACGCATTAACTCCAAGAGTTTATGTTGTAGTGAAATACGAAGAAGTTACATGTTTAAAAAATGTTATTTGTTTGAAATGGTTTTAAAGGTATTTTTGTCATCTCATGGTTAAAATTGGCTAAAAATAATTAACTTTATAGTGAAGGTTATTTTTAAAATGAGCCTAGGGTTGTTTCTTACAATTTTCTGATATTTTTTTGTTCAAATTAGTTGTTTCAAGACTATGCATCATCAATATTATATGGATAATCATATTAAAATATTATAATGATTAACAATGTAACAAGTAGAACCTAATTGTGTCCTTACTGTAGAAGTCAGTGAACACTTGAGTTATTACAGGTTAATGAAATACATAATTTTCAAAAAAAAAAAAACCTAATTTTTGGACACCTCTAAAAAGTTATATTTGTACATGTTTCTAACTTTTATTTCTCTTTTTTCCTATCAGAAATACAAGCAATATAAACTAAATCTTATATCTCTATGTAAGTGTTTTTTAGGAGATTATATTTACAAATAAAAATTATAATTACATCAAATAACTTTTAATATATACTATAATATAAAATAAATTTATAAATAAACCAAAAGTTATCCGGCCGATAAAATAGATCTAAATAATGCAATAATAAAATTTATTTGGCTTGAGTTTTCATAGCATAACATAAAACTAAAGGACAGTTCTGAAAATTCAATAAATTAAAGACAACATCCTAAAGCAACCAGCACGAGAAGAAAAAGAAATCAAGACAGACACTTGCCTCCAAAATAAAGAAAAAGGAAACAGCCAATTACTAGGTAAAATAAAAGCACCTTGACATTGATACGTTGAACCTGCACTCAAAATTATTCTCTCGATTTGGGATTCAAAGGAGTCCAAGGGAAATGTCATCAACATGATGGTATTTTCATCAAGCCTGCTTGTTCGAATCCTTCAAAAACTTGATTTTGATCTTCTTCAATTGAGCAACAACGTTTTTCATGTCAATCCTCTCTTCTGACAACTCTTTTGAACATTCTAATGCCAATTGCAAAACAGACAATGCACAATCTTTTATTGCAAAATGTTCTCGTGCCTCGGAACAAATTAGCAAATTGGCATCTACAACTTGAGTTAATGCACATGGTAATGACTCAGTCACCCAATGTATTAAGCTCATTTCTCCAACAAACATTTCATCTGTGGGCTTTTTTCTTGTTAAGGTTTCAATTAGAAGAATACCAAAACTGTACACGTAGCCTTTTATGGAAACAACTCCTTGTGTTCCGTATTCTACATGCAAGTGATTAAAACCATCGTCAAAGTATGTAATTATTTTACATGAATTATCATAATGGATAAAAAAAATTCTAAAGTTTAAGCATTACCTGGTGCCATATACCCAATTGTTGCTAGTGTTATGGTTTGTACTGTTGAATCCTCTTCACCTAACAGCTTTGCAATGCCAAAATCACCCAAATGTGCAACCATGTCTTCATCTAATAGAACATTGTTGGGTTTTAAATCACAATGGGCCACAGGAATTGTCTGACCATGATGGAGGTATTCTAATGCGAAGGCCACATCAATCATAATGTTCAACCTTTGTAAGGTATCGAGAAAGTAGTTATGAGAATACAACCACTTCTCAAGGCTTCCATTAGGCATGAACTCAAGTACCAAGGCTTTAAACTCAACATTACAGCAACTACTGATGATCTTGACTAGATTCCGGTGGCGAATGTTGCGCAAGACCTCACACTCAACGTCAAAGCTCTTAAATGATCCTTCTACCTCCAAATTAAAGACTTTTATGGCAATGTTCAATCCATTTGAAAGAGCACCTTGGTATACCGAGCCAAAACTCCCCGCACCAAGTAGTTTGCTTTCACAAAAACCATTTGTGGCTTGATGGAGCTCTTGGTATGAAATTCTTCTCCACTTTGCTAAACCAATGGAATTTTCTCGATCAATTTGTTGCTTTGAATGCTTTCTTCGGCTTTGGAAGAAAAAGACAATTAAGGCTAGAATTAATAGCGTTGAGCTAACTGGCAATAGAATAAATTCTATAAGCTTAATAGCTTTCCTTGAATGTTGAGCAGAATTACTTGTGCATGGTGGGAGTTGTAGTCGAGGTGCACCACATAGTGCTTGATTCCCCATAAATGATTGGATTGAGCAATTGGCAAAGGGTCCTCCGTTAGGAATTTCTCCGTGCAGTCTATTGAATGAGACATTATAATACTTGAGATGCAAGAGTTTTTGCAAGGACTTTGGAATAATTCCAGAAAAATTATTTCTTGATAGATCCAAGAATTCCAATCCTATCAGCCCACCAAATAACTCAGGTATAGACCCATACAATCTGTTATCGGATAATGAAAGATAAGTTAGGCCTTCAAGATCACCAATGCTACTCGGAATTTCACTTGATAATTGATTTTTGGAAAAATCAATAATTGTAACAACCTTCCACTTTCCAATGTCAACTAGGAGAGCCCCGCTAAGAAAATTGGAAGACAAGTTTAATTGCAAGATATCTATAAGCCTTGTGAAGGTTGAGGGAATTGAGCCAATTAACTTGTTGGAGTCAACAAATAGTTCTCTAAGAGAAATGATATCACCCAAGCATGCTGGTATTGGTCCACCCAATTGGTTACCTGTGAGATGCAAGAAACCCAAACTCCGCAAACGGCATAAGTCAGATGGAAGGGATCCTTCTAACTTATTGTCTTCAAGGTAAAGACCCTGCAACTTTTCTAATCTTCCGATTGTGGTCGGAATAGATCCTATCAGTTCATTGTTATTTATGTTCAAGCGGATCAAGTTGCTTAGGTTGCCAATCTCTCCAGGAATGTTCCCTCCAATGTTGCAGTACGAAGCAGTGAATATTTGCAGGGAAGTAGAGAGATTTCCTATAGACTTGGGAAGTTCACCATCTACCAATGGATTAGCATCAAATTTCAAGAATGTCAAGTTTTTGCAATATGCTAAAGATGAGAGAAAGCTGATTTCTGGGGTCGAAGGTGTGCTTGCTAAAGCATTATTTTCTAGGTTGAGCCGTTGCAGATGTCTTAGATTTCCGAAATCATTGGGAATATATCCAGAAAATGAATTAGATGACAAGTCAAGGTCTGTTAGCTTAGAGGCATTGGAGATGGAGGTAGGTATTGTTCCACTGAACGCATTTATATCAAGAAAAAGCTGTTCAAGTTTTGGAAGCCAAAGTCCTGTGCTCCATGCAAGACAACCTGAGAGTTGGTTTAAAGAGAGTGAAATGACCCTTACAGTTGAGCTATTAAAGATAGCAGGAGGGACATGTCCGGAGATACTGTTATTTCCCAAGTTCAAATTGTCCAAATTTGGTAGGCTGCCTATCTCAAGTGGTATTTTACCTGCCACAAAATCAGAAGTCATTTGGATTTGTTCCCGTGATCCAGAAGTAAATAACAAAATTACTGACAAAAATTGTACACACATTTCTAGTTTTATATTTTATATTATAGATACATGTAACAAAGAGTCAAACAATATTATTCAAATATTTACAACATTTGCAGCTATACAGAAGCTAAACATACATAAGAAAAAATGTAACTTATTTACTGTCAATTTTTTAATGGAAAAGTCAATCGCATTTTGAAATTTTAAATTATCAGTCTGTTGTGGAACTTCCCTCGCATAATGAAATTGATCCCCTAATTGTTTCAATTTAGCAACAACTTATAAAGCCCATTTGTTTGTCAAACGGAACGATCAAAATTATTAAACAAAGTTTGGAATTTAGATAATACAAAGCAATATAATCTTGCACTTTGTAGCTAATTTATTATAATTTTCGCATAATGCTCAAATAAGTCCTTAAACTATTTAAGAATATTTAAATAAGCTCTTATTCTTTTATTGCATTCAATCAAATCCTTATATTTTTATTTTAGATCAAACAAACCCTTATAATTAATTGTTGACTAATTATCATTAGTAAAAATATCACTTGTTATTTTATATCCACACGACATTGATTATGGGCATGATACGAAGGTTGGAAAAATACCATATGTCATTTTTATACCAAATTAACATGTTATGTTATCATGAATTATGATATGTTAACATGTCACATCATTATCAATTACCATATTTTAGCATATCACATCAGCACACATAATATAGAATAACAAATGATATTTTAATTAATTCAAATTATTAATCATAAAGACTTATTTAACTAAAAATAAAAGTTGAAGGGCTTATTTGGTTTAAAATAAAAGTACAAGACTTTGATTTTTTTTTATATAATTTGGAAAGAGGAGATTCGAACCCTGCTCTTTAGATAAGGGGATAATGTACCAACCAATAAGTCAAATGCTCGGGTGCATATAAGACAAGAGCTTGATTGAATGCAAAAAAAGTATAAAAGCTTATTTGAATTTTCTTAAATAATTTAAAGGCTTTTTGTATATTATGTCTATAATTTTTTTATTTATATAATATAATGAAAACATATTAGAAATCGTTGGAAAAAAAATAACATATATAGATAAGTAGATAATACATTTGAATTTTGGGTTGAATGATTCATGAACAAAATAGAAATAAAATACTTGATTATAAAAGAAAATGGAAATTAAAAAAGGTGAAGATCAATGTTAAAAATTAATTTAAATAAAAAACAATGAGATTAAATAAAGAGTGTGACACTATTACCAAAAGCTAAAAAAAATATAAAAAAAAGAAAGATGTGGAAAATCCAGATAATATCATAAGACCAAAAAGAGGCGAAATATTAAAACATGAGAATTTGATGAATAAACTACGTGTTACAATAATTTGTTGATGCAATATACCTAGAGATATTAGTATTTTCAATTAAAAATTTGAGAAAATCTATAAACTCAAAAGTGATAGTGAATTTAATAGAAAAAAGAATAAGGATGAAAGAAAAATGAAATTCAGAAAAAATAGCTATATAACTATATTTATTTATTATTTTAAAAGGATCCATAGGGATCGAAATTTACAAATTTAAGGGCATCTTCATCTTATTTTGTCCATTCCTGTTCCCCCTAATCCCATAATTGCAATGGACAAAAAAAGAAAGGAAGGAAGAAAGAAAGAAAATTCTTGGGTTTCGAGTTATGTAACGAAGACTATAATAAGAGTGTGAATAATAATATTTATTCAAATATTAAATATTGCAGCTATATAAAAACTGAACACAGATAAAAAAAAATGTGATATATTACCTGTCAAATTATTGGAGTTAAAAGCAAGTACTTTCAGAAGTGTTAGGTTACCAATGGTGGAAGGAATAGGCCCTATTAGTTGACATTGTTCAAAAGCTAATCGCTCCAAATTCAGCAGAGTACCAATTTGCGGTGGAATTTCACCTACACAATGAAAATTTATTTCATTTCAAAACAATTGCAACAAATAAGGCCAAATTCATTTCTCTAATACATCAATAAAGCCATAAAGCAACTACTAGTATTTTTCAATAAAAAATTTTACATTGTTTTGTTTGGCTGTAAAATAATGTATGGTGTTAACTAATGTGTAATTTCCTAATCTAGCAAAATTGGTGGTACAAAACCAGTCTTCACCAACATCAAACCTTATACTTTACATCTAAAAGAAAAAGGATAAAATATACATAAACTAAAAAGTGATTGTACTGAATCTAATTGAAGCAGTAATCAGGAATTTAAAGAATTACGATAATCCAAATAGGTGACATTGTGAAATAAAGAAGGTAAAATATTGTAGGCTCAAATAGGTTAAGGACTTGGTATGGCATATTGATAATGGAAGAATAAAATTTTCTACTTTTCAAAAAAGAAAATATTGGAGGCTCTAAAGGAGCCAAGCAAAAAGGGAAAAAAGGATTAGAAACATGCTAAAATGCATCTCTACATCTATTTTACTTTTACCTTTGAAGTTGTTGCTTCCGAGAAATAGGATCTTAAGCATTGTCAAGTTTCCTATTTCTTTTGGTATAGTTCCCTCCAAATAATTATAGGATAAGGATAGTCCTTGTAACTCTTGGCACTTGAATAAACTCATTGGAATCGGGCCAGAAAGGAGGTTAAAACTAAAACTAAGCAAATTTAATCTAGGTAAATGATCAAACATATCAGATGGGATACGACCAGTGAGATTGTTATATGACAAATCAATTCTTTGCAGGGAAGACGTGTTGAACGGGATGGAAGGTATGGAACCACTTAGCTGGTTGCCTGCGAGAACAATCTCTACTAACGAAGATATGTTGAAGACTGAGGAAGGTATGGAGCTTGAAAACTGATTGTAATGCAAATATAAATATTTTAAGCTAGGAAGATTTCCGATTTCCCCTGGGATAACTCCCATAAAGTTATTACACTCTAATTCCAAACGTTGAAGTTTAACGAAAGAACCAAACCAAGATGAGATTTTCCCTTCGAAATTATTGTTAGACAAGATTAGAAATTTCAGCCGGCGCAAATTAGCCAACTCAATGGGCAACGAGCCATGAAAATAGTTGCTCCCAATATCAAGGGAAACAACAAAAGACAAATTTCCCATGTCTGATGGTATGGTGCCAAAGAGGTCCATGCGGAATAGATCCAATGCAATGACTCTGTGGTGTCGAGATCCGCAAGTGACACCAACCCAATTGCAAATAGATGTAGCAGTTGACCAGTTGGCTGCCAAAAACTCACTGTTGACACGGGCTTTTAGTGCAAGAAGAGCCAACTGGTCTGTGCCGATGTTGGCTGTTGATTTCGTAGAGAATGAAACCCCAAAATTAGACAGCATCACTACTGCCATAATAGCCAAAATCAACCGAGTGTTTCCCATGAAGTTATGTAGAAGTGAAAGGAGAATTTTTGAATGATGAATGGGAAAGATGATGTTTCTTTCTCAATATATACAAGGTACCATAATCGTGATGGGACCTATTTTCACATGCAACTGGCCAATGCATCCTTATTTTCAAGTTTTTTATATATTTTTAATTGTTTTATCTAATTTTATCAACTAATTTGGTATTTTTTAGCTCATGATAACAACTTAAATAGTAGTTTTATCCAGTATAAATACATATATTAATCATTATTTATTCAACAAATATGTTTTTATTTTATAAATTTTTCACTATCAAAATATAAGTACATCATTTTTAAAAAAAAATTGAGATAAGGTCAAAATTTGTTACTTTATTTGAGGTGATGAATTAAATTTACAAACCAACTTTAAACTGCCAATAGCTTTTTAAGCGATAATTATCTTTTGTATCTGTACAGGTTTCCTTTTATTCATACTAGGTCCTTATATTATGAAAAGTCTCTTGCCAATTAAGCAAGAGATTTAGAATGGTTATTGGTTCTCGAGACTAATAAATATATAATTTTTTTAAATAACTTTAAACTAATATGGTGCAATTTTAACTTGAACTCCAAATTTAGCTATATAGTAAAAAGAAATTCCACTAAAATTTTTTTTACAATTTACTATTAATTTATTGCCAATATTTTTGAACCAAGTTAAAAGTACAATGCTTAAAATTATACCTCTAATAACAAGTTAATTATTTTTTTAACTGATATATCATTGTTCAATTAGCCAACAAAAGGCCATGTAACTTACCACGTTAGATAAAAAAATAGTCACATCATTGATTAAACAGTCCACATCATTAATTTAATGATGCTTTATTGATGAAAGGATCCAATTTAACTTTTAATATAAGTACTTGGGTCTGTTTGGTCCAGGTTTATAGGTTCTATGACTGGTTTTTGTTTTTGGTTATGTGCCAGTCTCTTAATTCGAAGGAATGATGGAAGCTTAGTTTTAGACTTGTCTGCAAATACCCTTAACGTGAGCCAAGGACCATTGTATAGCTTTTGGGAGTGAAGAGTGAAGACTACATCCACTATTTACTGTCCTTGAATAACGTATATTCACGGGTTCAATGTGTGCCCTTAAATGCTTTACTGTGTTTAAATTAAATAATTATGATTATAATAGTGAAGACTTCTCTCTTTACTGTGTTTCTTGTTTATATATTTATTGTTAAATTAAATACTTAAATAATTATAATAGTGATGCAGCTGACATATGTCATTAGAAGAATCTATCTAATAATTTATGGATGCTTATGATGCATATGACTCAGCTGATGTAATTTTAAAACATTGAAAGCAAGAGGAAGAAATGAAAAGGGAAATAGTGACAGAAGATGCAGAGGGGAATTCAAAAAGGAAATTAAAGATGATGGGCAAATTGCAGTGTTAGAAAGGAAAGGCACGAAGCATGTTGACCGCTGTATGCATACATGATATAATCGTACCATGTATACACCTGAATTTTTAACAGATAGAACAGGGCAGGACCATTTCCCATTCACGAAACAGAGCATCACCATGAAAACTACCAACTGAATTCATAAACTATTGAAATTATATATATATATATATATATATATATATATATAAGCTTGTAGTGGACAGGTTAGCACAAAACAAACCACAGTTTATTCCAGAAACTATTTTTTTTAAAAAAAAGAAAGTTATTTTACAAAATAGAACCAATCTGGATTATAAAGCTAGTAAAGCTAGAATGAAACGAGGGTTTCCTATGAGGTTAGTTGTGACGCAATTAATTGATCAGAGTTTCCCATAAGGGTTTTTTCAACTAGTGAGAAAGGTGAATTATTTGTTATTAGTTCATACCTAGTCAAAACCAACGTTTTTGTCACTCTCCTATCTAGCTAGCCAAATTTCTTCTTAATTGTGATGGGACCTATTCCCACATGCTTCCCACCTCCCTTCTATGTTGAAGAGAGAATTTCATAGAGCAATTTTCATCTTTTCCAATTTATTTGCATTGATACATATTAATATCTAAATGGGTAAACATATAATATTACTAATAAAATTAATTGGAGTATCAATTTAGATAACATAATTTTGAGTATAGAGATTCTTTTCGGCAAAAATTTTATAGTCTATGAACTTAAACAAATATTAAAACAGAGTACAGGAACAATTAGAATACTAATTCCACATAATAGCACATATAAATGCGAAATTGTAGATCCAAGGAATTTTCAACTAATTTCTTTGAATTCAGTGAAGGAATTTTTTTCGTTTAGTTCTTGTTGCTGGTGAAATTGTGGACACATCCCTCTCATTTACCCCCACGCATTCAGTCATGGTCATCGATCAGAAGAGTCAATTAAGTCATCTCAATTGCTGGGAAAGAATAATTGTAGCGAGTTGTGCATGGTGAAGTTTATTGCAGTTGGCCATGTGACCCTTCTAATCGATAAGCTACTAGTTTTTCTTGTAACGTGCTTTCCAATTCCTGTCTTTCTTCCTAATGTGGAATTCACACTTCCAATTTGAATATGTGCGAAAATCCTCGACTTTAAATTGCTTTTCCACATTAATTCACAAATGATACGTGAATAACGTAGTCCATATGAGACATCTTAGTTGTCAATTGCTCTGCCTACCTTTTTGCTTTTGCTTTTTCCAAAAACAGAATGTGTTGTTCCTTTACAAATTACAATGCCAGGGGGGAAAATTGACAACCGACCCATAGAAAGGTCTAATACCGTGTTCAAAGAAAGGAAAAGCATGGAGCCTGTTGACTGTTGAGGGCACACATTCAAATTCAATCTCTTTCAGACAGTGTTTTCCCAAAAAATTGAACTAATCTTCACTCAACAAAATTAATTAATTGTTACATGGATCCTTAGCTTACATTAATCCATTTTCTTACATTTGAAAAAAAATATTCTTTGAATATTTAACTCAATAATAAATACGTATATATATATTTATTATGAATTCAACATATTATGAATCTACACATAAAATCAACATAAGAGAAAAAAAAAAGAATACGGCAAGTAAAAGATGGAACCCACATATGACATAATAAAAATATAAATAGTTAAATACGATATACAAGATTAATAATTTCATCTTACATAAACTTAGAACATATGAGTAAATAGAATAAAAATGAAAAAACATATAAACAAATTACTGTGTTAGAAAGGAAAGGCATGACAACTTTTAATTACTTATTGCATCAAGTTGATATGTATCGTTAGAAGAACCTATTGAAATAACTCAATAATTACTTTCTTTTCTAAGATGGTAAGTAGAAGATAGAACTCACATATGACATAATAAATATATAAATAGTTAAATATGATATATAAGATTAATAATTTCATCTTACATAAACTTAGAACATAGAATAAACAGAATAAAAAATGAAAAAACATATGGGCAAATTACCGTGTTAGAAAGGAAAGGCATGAAGCGTGTTAATTGTTGTATGCATAGATGTTAAAATTGTACGACATATACTTCTCTGCGTAGACCGTAGGTTAAAAATTGTTTATGGTTACTTTCAATGAGATTAAAGTAACTGTGATTGAAACCAGGTTTCAAATCTACCACAACCATGCCCCTTAGCTGGATCATAGATGTTAGAAAAATTAAGAGTTTATAGATAGAGATGATCTTGAACAAATACGAATGTGAACAATTAATATTCATATTATTTTGAGTCATGCAGTCAGTACTTAATTAACCATGAATTCGAGGGCTAAAGAAGCATTGATTGGAGTTCCATCAGTGGAAGTATTGTGCTAGTGATTGCTAGATCGTCAACACTGAACTTTTACTTGTTGATGTTCCGTAACAGTGTAGCCAATCTTCCTTAAGAATTTCCTAATTCCTTTTGATTAAGATCACTTCTAACTTCCTAATTCCATGATAACACCTTCAAATTTTAGTGGTCATCTTTCTTTAACCCTCAAACTGCCTAAGTAAATATTGAAATAAATTTAATAGAAAACCGGGAATTCTTCCTTAGTGCTATTGAATTCTGTTCTGAATTTCTAGAAAAACGAGAGAAATACCAATCCTTTTGATTTGGAGAAGAGGAGATTGAGATACACAAGATGGACAAGAAGCAAAGTGTCCAGCTACAAACCTATTAGAGCAACTGAGATACATCACCAGAAGAAAACAATTAAAGACCATCGAAACAAGTACCAGTCATAACATTCAATTGAATTCCTAATAAAACAGAGCAGGACACCATTACCCATTCACGAAACAGAGCACCACCATGAAAACCATCAACTGAATTCCAATATATACGCAAAACAAACCCCAGTGGTTTTGCCCATTTTTGTATCGATATATGTTGATATTTAAAGGGGTAAACATAAAATATTACGAATAAAGCTAATCAGTAAAGAGAAGTAACTCTCCTCATCACCTAAATCTCATCCTCTTATCAGATCATAATTAAAAGTTGAAAGTTCAAGTTAAAACTCTAAATTCTAATTACTAATGAGGTATTTTTTTTTCAAATACAACTAGGATTAAGGAAATATGTGTAGATATGGTAAAAAATTTATTCTGACTATCAAAACGAACATCGAAACAGTAAGACCATTAAGATATTAGCTCCACACAATAGCGTATGAAAATGTGAAATATAGACAAATCACTTTCTGTCAAGGTGCATTAATTCTAACAAAGTCTTTTTTGGCGGCCATAATTTATTAATTCTTCTCAAACACATACTTGGTAAGAATACTTCCACTGAGTCAACGTCGAACTTACTGCAATGACTCTACGACCCTTAGCTCGATTCTCACCAATGTTAATATTTTTCAAGAGGCTAGCTTTTCTAGTAATGCGCTTAGCAGTTCCCATGTATCTGTTTAGTTTTTTTTTTTAAAGTATGTATCTATTTATTATTAATCTACTGAAAACTCTTTTTTTGCTTATCTAAAAATTTAAATTTAATTTTTTAAATAAAAAATTATATATATTTAT